CATCTAATTAATAACCCTTATTTTATTTTTAATATAATTTAAATTACAAAATATGCTTTCCTTTTCCGATTACTTAGGAAAATTTCTCTTTAAAAATTAGCTAGAACATGAATGTATTTGCCTTTTGTAATTTTTTTCTCCAGCTAACAAGATCGCCAGTTTACCCTCTGAAGAACAATTCACCCAGAGTCAAAAAATGGTTTCTCTTTGAGCCGCAGAATTACAGTTGAAATTAGGTTTGGGATTGGGTCTCCATTTGTGCAACAGCAAAGCATATATAAAGTAAGAAACAATAACATAAATATTTGCTAAAATCTTGACTTACAGGATGAGAGGTAGAGCAAGGACACCAACATAAAAAGCACCATCTGCCGATCCGCTGCGGGGCTGACCAAAAGGATGGGTTTTCAGCGTCGAGGGGAAGACATCGACCTGTGTTTTTAGGCTGAAAGGATCTGAGGCCTTTCCCTTGCCATTTTCAGAATTTAGGAGAAACGAAGGCATATGACTATATGAAAGTAAGATGGGTCAACCAGTCAAGCAAATTTGTTTTCAATAAATTTATGTTTTTCACTTATAAAAATTAAAATATTTTTTTACTTCTTCCTAATTCAAAATGCACTTTGAATGTACTAATTTATATCATATTAATTATTATATAAAAAAATCCTTCGTATTGGACTCCTCTCTCTTTAATAATTTTTATTTAATCATATAATTTAAATTATAAAATATAAAACCATTCCCCAATAACCTAGGAAAAATTCTTTTTTGGTCTGGTTGGTAACTTGAATTTGAAATAATGTATTTAAATTTGGGAGGTTAAAATTTAATATTATTGTTTGTTTTACCTAAATAAAATGTAATTAAATTTACAAAAAATACATGCATTTCAACAAAGTATTTTCAAAAGTTTAAACTCGTGTGTTTCAATTTCACTCTCAAACATATGAATTTCAATTTTGAAATGAATTTCCTCTCCGTTCTCTCCTCTCACCGACGGGGATGAGATCACTTAAACCTCCCCTTGATAGTAGGTTTTTTGTGCGAGGAGGATTTTGGTTTTGCTCGGATTTTGGGATTTCGTTTGCTTTAGGCAGTTTTCCTGCAGATTTCCTGCAGATTCATCGAGTCTTGGCGGCGAGAAGGGGAACATACACAGAGGGATGATGATGGCGGTGACCGAGTTTTTGGCCATGGAAGATGAATGTATTTGTTTTCGTGTTTTTTCCAGCTAACAAGATCGCCAGTTTACCCCCATGAAGAACGATTCACCCAAACAGAGTCAAAAAGTGGTTCAACTTTGAGCTACAGAATTACAGTCAAAATTTCTATTAAAGAAGAAGAAGAAGAAGAAAAGACATGGAGCTAATTAGCGAGCTATAACTACTCATGGTTTTGAGGGAAAGGGTGTTGATAATAACAGTCTAATAAAAATACCGGATCTATGGAAATTGGGTTTGGGATTGGGTGTCCATTTGTGCAACTGCAAAGTATATATAAAGTAAGAAACAATAACATAAATAGTTGCTGAATTCTTGACTTACGGATGAGAGGTAGAGCAAGGACACCACCATAGAAAGCCCTATCTGCCGGTCCGCTGTGGGGCGGACCAAAAGGATGGGTTTTCAGCGTCGAGGGGAAGAGATCGACTTGTGCTTATAGGGTGAAGATTCTTAGGCATTTCCATCGCTATTTTCAGAATTTAGGGGAAACGAAGGCACATGACTATATCAAAATAAGATGGGTCAACCAGTCAAGCAGTTTCCGCTTAATTGGGATTTTTCAATTGCTGCTAATGGCCCCTTTATCACAATCAAACATAAAAAAAATACATAAATAAATAAAGGGAATATACATGGTCCCATAACAAGAATAATAAACACAAACCCACTTCCTTATTGAGCGGTACATTTTGCGGATATTCAGAAGAAGAAAGGCGGAATATTAAAAAATCTAGGAAATGTTTGGAAGTGGGGAAAGAAGAAAAGGCACCTAATTTATATTTTGGGTGGTGCGAGAGTGAGATCTAAATTCAAAACAATCCCTGGATTGAAGTCTTCTGACTCAGTTGCAAACAAACCCATTGTAGGCACCTGATTTCCTTCACAGGCCACCACAGGTGGTGCCAGAGTCAGGTCTAAGTTCAGACGAAATTCTTCTGCACTGGTTTGATCAAGAATTGGTTTCAAATTGGCTGTTTTAGGATGATCGTGGTGGGTTTCATGGGCAATTTGCTGCTGCACGCCACCAGTGCTCTCGAGTTCCACTTCCGCTAGAAAGGGAAACATGGGCGCTTGCAGTCCCTTGCTTAGTGTCAACCCCAAATTCTTGTCATATGGCTTCAAACTGAGCTCTTCAGGCTTCCGACCAATTCCAAGGGCCAGTTGAGTCTCTTGTTTGATGGCAGGGATGTTTGCAGCGACCTCCACATTGAAATTACTGTTGTGGGCGGTTGGCACAGCGACTGGAGTTGGCCTGGGTAGGTTGCTGCTTCTCACGATCTCAATCCGATACCAGATTCCGGCTTCATCTTCGTCCCTGAAGATTCTGACTACATCACCGACCTCCAACTGATTTGCGCGGACAGAGGGTTTCCAACCCCTAGAGAATGCAGGTTTTTTGTGGCCACGCCTGCGAATGGATATGACCATAGGCCAATGTTTTGGGCCATGCCAAAAGTCCACACGCACGAAATGACGACCATTGAATGGTGGGAACAAGGGTAACGCCTTCATTGGGACGCGCCTTCATTGGGATGCTAAACCTGTGCTCCGTATCAGTTTTTTTCAGAACTTTTTCGGCGA